ACAGGATGAAAGCAAACAAAAGGTCATTAAGAAGACAAGGAAGAAAAGACCAAAATGGATGCCAGAAGAGACTCTGAAACTTGCTTTCCAGTGTAGAGATGCTAAAGCAAATGGGAGAAATGAGGAGGTAAAAGAGCTGAACAGAAAAATTCAAAGGTCAGCTCAAAAAGACAAAGTCAAGTATTATAATGAATTGTTATAACCTGGAGTTAGAAAACCAAAAGGGGAGAACATGCTCAGCATTTCTCAAATTTAAAGACCTGAACAAAAAACTCGAAAGAAGATGGAAGAGTCACTGTAGCAAAATGAAATGGTTGATATTCAACCATTTCAAGAGACAGCATATGATCAAGAGCCAAACGCTACCAGAGGAAGTAGTTCATGGCACACTCTAGATATTGACAAAGAACAAGGCTCCAGGAATAGATGGAAATCTTTCAACAAACCGATGCAGCACTGGAGGAACTCAGGTATGCCAACAAATTTGGAAGACAACTTCCTGGCCAACTGATTGGGAGAGATTCATATTGGTGACCATTCTACAGAGAGGTGACCCAATGGAATATGGAAAATAGCAGACAATACAATTAACATCACATGCAAGTAATATTTTGCTAAAGATAATTTAAAAATGGTTATGACAGCACATTGACAGGGAACTGCCAGATGTTCAAATTGGATTCAGATAATTATATGGAATGACAGATACCATTGCTGATGTCGATGGAACTTGGCCAAAGCAAAAAAAAGAGTATAAAAAAGATGTTTACCTGTGCTTATTGACTATGCAATGACTTTTGATTGTGTAGATCATGACAAGCTATGGACTACGGCTCCTGAGGAACCTGTACATAGACCGAGAGAGTCGTTCAAACAGAACAAGGGGACACTGAATGGTTTAAAATCAGGAAAGGTTTATGCCAGGGTTGTATTCTTTCATCATACTATATGATGAACAAATAATCAGAGAAGCTGGGTTATATGAAGAACGTGGCATTACGATTGGAGGAAAACTCACTCATTAACAACCTGTAATATGCAGAGGGTACAACCTTGCTTGCTGAAAGTGAAGAGGGCTTAAAATACCGATGAGGACTTTCAAAGTACTGATGAAGACCAAAGATCACAGTCTTAATATAAAGAAAACCAAAATTCTCACCACTGGATCAGTATATATAACATCATGATAAATGGAGAAATGGTTCAAGTTGTCAATGACTTCATTTTGCTTGGAACCATTATCACTACTCATGGAAACCGCAGTCAAGAAACATATTAAGCAAATCTGCTGCACAAGTCCTCTTTAAAGTGTTTGACTGGTACCTATTAATAGTTTAGTTCTTACACATCAGGGGCAACCTAAGTATATGATATGGGGTAGAGAATCCTAACCCCCAGTAAAAGCTAGTTCTCCTTTTCTTTCACTTGATCATTCCTGCATCTTGCATCTCAAAGTGGTTCAACCAGGCATGTTTGTTACCTTCTTGGATGAGAGCCTCTTTCTCGAATGGACTATATGCCTCTTGGAGGTACCAGATGCCACAGGATAATCACTGTGCAGTTTCCCAGAGACTTTGGGAAAATGCCATTTTCAACTTTTTATTATGAATTGTGTGAAGGTTTACAGTCAGTTGAGTTTTCCATTCAACAGTTCATACATTTTGTTTCATGGCATTGCTTGCAATCCCCACACTGCAACATGCATATCTCACCACTACCCAGCTGCTTACTGGTTCCATTTCTCCTTTGCCCTTAGGCAAAAGCTACTCTTTTGATCTCAATGAAGTATGAATCTTGCAAGAGTTTTACTGTCCTCTTGGAGTCCTGGTGTGGTGCTGTGGGTTAATGCACTGAATTGCAAGGGCAGTTTGAACTGCAAGTTCGGCGGTTCAGCGGTTCAAGCTCACCAGTAACTCCTCAGAAACCCTATACAGGGTCACTATGGGTCAAAACCCACTCTAAGGCACTTTACAACAACAACGTTTCTTATAGAGCTATCGATTGTTTGGCTGAAAGTTGAGCCACTTGGTGAGTTGTTTCAGTCCTGAAGTGTGACTTAAGGCCACGGCCTTGGGCTCCTCTAGTCTCTGGGAAACCCATTTTCTTAACATGAGCGTGCACTATGGGAGAATAAGAAATCTGAAGGCAGGAGAATACAGGCACTTCTTGCCTGGGGTTGGCAGCCTTCTACTCCTCCCCTCCCCCAGACTCCCGAGAGGGGTCTCTATTCTGATGACTCAGTGCCTGCCATTAGAGGGACAAGGGTGGAAAAGTTAGAAAGGCCTCAGGGAAGTTGACACTGAAGAGCTTTTGAAGCATCCAGACCCACCTGCTCCCTCTTGTGACAAAGGGGCCACATTGCAAAGGGAAGGGAGGGAATCTAGTTCCAATGTTATAACCTGGGATGAGATCCAAGGGGCTGACTTCAGGGCCCCTGCTTCTGTATTTAATGGACCCAGAAAGGGATCCCCGCCACCCAGCAGTGTCTGGTAGCCCTATCCTCACCCAGGTGGAAGTGGGGTGATGGGAAGGGTGGGCAATCGTGCCCCCTCACCCCCAGACCAGTTTGTACCTCTCATGGTGGGGAGTTCAAACGGGAAGGTTGGCAGTTAGGTCAGAGTGGGCAGCCCCCTCCTACCCCCACAACTGGACATCAAGAAGCACAAGTTGAGTGGGGTTCTGGGATGAACTTGGGCTGCTGAGCAGAGAAATGAGTATCCCAGTGAAAGCTTGTCCCTCTCTAGCTATGGGAGACTTGAGAGGCTGGTTATTTCTACAACATTAACTCTGCAATGGAGTCCTGGTGTGGTGCTGTAGGTTAATGCGCTGGATTGCAAGGTCCGTTTCAACCACAACGTTGGAGGTTCAAACTCACTAGCTGCTCCTTGGAAACCCTACAGTTGTTATCAGTCAGAACGGACTCAAAAGAAGGCACTTAACGACAAGTCTGCAATGGGACCATGGCCCCCCTCTCCTCTGAGCAAGGCCCAGCAGGGAGAACTGCACAGCACACACACAGAACAGAAGGTGACCTCAGCCCCTCCTCATCATTATTCTAACTCTGGCCACTGAGGACAGTCACTATTATCTGAGTTACTCAAGAGTCAGTCAGGGCAACTCAGACACTGGCTACCTAAAATGAGGGGTGATAAAGGCATAAAGTGACTGGCTTACAAGTTTTCAAGAGGGAGTTTAGCTTAAGTGTGTGGAGGAAGGTTGTGTGGAGGAAGGTTGAGACCCCACTGAATAGTTTCCATCTTTTCTAGATGGATCTGGTGAAAAGAGATGGGGATAAGAGTCTTGATTCAATAGTGAGTAATTATTAACATGACTAATTACGACTGTCCCAACTGTAAAGGTAGAAAGTTTTGTAACAAAAATGGGGGACCCTAAGACCATCAAGGGAGGAGAGCACAAGCAGAATGTGGGACCCTATCCAGAGAAGCAAGCCACACCAGAGACAGACGCAGAGATGAGGGCATGGAGACAGAGAGCAGCTGAGGACTCTGGACGCATGGAAAGAGGGTATGGGTGCTGGCGGCCAGGAGGCAGTCTTGCAGAATGTGCCCTTTGGTTGTTTAAGTGTTCCTGAGTGTTTCTGTGTACATCTCCGCTACCCCCTGCCCCCAAAAAATAAAACAGAGGTAATGGAGGCAAATACTGTTGAATGATGATGCACAGAGGAGATTGTAATCATTGCAATGAAACAATGGTATAAAGCCGATGTTCTTCCATGTAAACTATCACTCAGTTCACAGTAAAAACTTTAGCCCAAGCTTTCTACCTTCTGGAACCTGCAGTCTAGCTAGCTCCTGCTGCATTACCCTCCAGAATGGGAACTGATGGGAGGGACCACAAGTCCTGTCAGGGTACACGGTGGCATTTCTTCAGGTCCTGTAGGATAAGCCCCAGATGCCTCAGAAACTCTACACCGGGCCAAGATGAATCTGAACCAACTCAAAGGCACTTAACAGCAGCAGCCACAAAACGTCAAGCAGGAGGGTCGCTCCTGTCAGACACAGGTTCTAATGTGAAAAAAAAAAAAAAAAATCCAAAACCCAAACGATTTTATTTCTATTCTCCTTCCTTTTGAAAGAACGAAGTAAAGTGTAGAAAACATGTAAAACGTGAACGGTTACAATTCGGGAGTAAATGAAGGGCTGACAACGGCTTAACTGCTCCTCCTGTGGGCTGGGCCTAGTGATGGGGGGGGCTGTGAGAGGACAACACCCTAACCCCGCTCAGCCCCAAGGGAGGTGCCTCTCTAGGGGGGAGCCCAGGAGCTGGCATTCGTAAACAAGGCCTCCAGTAGACCTCTGTTCACAGAGTCTCCCCTGAGAGCCCTGGGGGCTGGCTAACATTTCCTGTCTTCCCAAGCCCACTAATCCTAAATGAAAACTTCAAGACTAGTGCAGCAGATGGCACCTGTTGTTTTCTGGGACTGTGGAGAGCCATTCCACCAGGCCGGGTTTTTTCCTCTCTAAAGGCACCTGTCTGAATTTGGAACTTTGGTTCCACAAGCGTTTCATCGGGCCTGGGCTGTATTCCCCACCTGAAGTCCCACTCCTTGCTATGTGACATCAAGTAGGGAATAGGTCCAAGGAGGACGGGTCAGGGACTCCTAAGCAACAGGGCGCCACACTGCTTCCTGGTAGGGATTGCTGCCTCGGTCCCTGAGGGCTGGCGGTCCCTGAGGGCTGGTGGAGCAGTGACAGCATCAGGTGCGGCAGGGAGGTGACAGAGGGTGCTTTGAGGTGAACTGTACTCAGGGGAACTGGCAGGTCTGGGGCTGGCACGCAGGTCCACAGCACTGGAATGGGGACAGTCAGTCCCCAGTCCCTTGCTCAGCAGCTGCTGGTGAGCGGAAGGCACAATCTCTGCGCTGGCAGGAAGTGGTGCAGATGGGTCCAGTGGCCTCATTTTCTCCATCCTGAGCTGCCTGTTTGGGGGATGGGGCAGGGGTATCTCTGGATGCGCTAGGGGTCTGTCGAGTCTTCGGCTCACTTGTGGCCGAGGCACTCCACTATCCCACTTCCCTTCATGCCATCAAAGAAGAAGAAGTTGTTGTGAGGAGGGTCCCGCTGAGACAGGGCCTGGGGAGAAAACGAGAGGTCAGCCAAGTGCTTTAATATAACAGGGATACAGAAATGGGGAAAGGAAAAAAAAAGGTTCTAAAAGCAGTCTAAGAGCACTGGTTCTCAGGCGGGGACACCTGGCTGTGTCTGAGTACAGCTTTGGCCATCCTACTCTATGCTCTCGGTCCCTTCTCAGCGGGCGTTCTGGGGCAGCTCAGCCAGCCTCCTGGAACCTGCTCTCCCTACGCAGACCAAGAATCACAGATGCACATTCCTGGAGCAGCAGTGACGTACACCAAGTATCTAAGATGGTGCCTCGCGCAGAGTAAGGCTGTTTGGCAAACGGCAGTATAATGATTTATGACTAGTCTACTGATACAGCTAACAATCCCTTTCAAGGGTGCATTCCCTGGGGACAGCAACTTACCTACCACTGGATGGCCCAGAACAACAGATGGGAAAGAGACCTTGTTCTGATGGGCCCAGAATCCCGGAAATGACATGCTGAGACGTGTGTAACTGCGTGTTTCTGGGGAAAGGGTTTCCTGAGGTCAACGGGTTTTCAAAGAGAGCAGAAATGTAACTAAGAGCCACCACTGAGAGAGGTCACTGCTGAGGCCCATGGCTGGACTGGGGCTGTGGCCCCATGGAGCACTATGCTATTGTTCATAAGGAAGAGGCTAGTTTACAAGCTCACAAACGTACCCTAAACACCCTGCACTCCTTGAACTGAACACCGGGCATGTTTTGTTTCCTCATCTGTAAAATGTGAACAATGACATCCACACGCCGAGTGATCTATCGGTGTGGCTGAGGACGATGTCTGAGTATCTACTATGCCGGGAGTTAAGGATGCTGCTATGTGGCACGTTTGAGAACGTGGCAGTCAGTGCATGGTGACTATAGCACAGGCTCAGTTGCTATATGCCTATTTGAATTAATTTACATTATAACCTACATAATTACATCCGTATTTAACAATCAGCATCAGCTGCATGGACACTGGAGATGAAGCACAAGACACTCCAGGCCAGGGGCAGAGAGGAAGAGGGCAGAACCAAGCTACAGGTTTATTTGGAGTCTGCTGAGATGGGCAGAGAGCAGGGTCAGACCCACAGTGCCCATACGTCACAGAAAATAGGAGGCTTCTGGAGAGGGGCAGAGGGCAGAATTCTGGGGAGGCCAGGATAGCCAGCTCTGCGGGTATGGATTCTCAGCTACCTCCTGGCTTTGGGGCCTTGGATCAAAGGCATGCTTCTCGGAGCTCCCATCCACAGCAGACCACCATGTGGTCCCTGCCTGCTAGATCTTGGTGGGAGTGAAATGCCATCAGGCTTGTCCTGTGCTTGGCACATGGTCAGTGCTCAGTCAAGAGTTGCTGCTGGTACTGGGGGTGCTGCATTCCTATAGCCCAGGTTACAGAGGACAGGCCTGGGAGGACCTGGATCCAGCTGTGGTGTCGGGAAGGCAGGAGAAGACTCCAGGGAACAGACGGCTACGTCTGCCCTCTGACTTCTCTGCTGTTCTCCTCCCTAGAGGTGCTCAGAGGCCCCTCAGGAGAGCAGGGAGAGGAGTGGGAGACAGTCAGCTGGCTGCAGGGTGGCCTGACGTTAACTCAGGGGGAATGGCATGGACAAGAGATCAGGGCACGGGGTGAACACGGGGCGAAAGGTAAAGTGTTTCCCAAACATGAGGAGGGCAGGGGGAGATTCCAAACACACCCAGCAACCAAGAATGCAGAGTCGGCGGGCTGTCTGGGATAAACAGAAACAAGATGCGGGCAGCAGCTGTCCCAGCAGCAGGAAGGAGGGGCCGTGTGAGGGGCGCGGGTGTGGATGCAGAGGCCACTGCCAACCATGGGGCCGGAGCACCTGTCTCGACCCCCTACCTCCATCCCACATGGACAATCCAGGGGGTGGCTCTCAGTGTGTGTGTGCACGCGTGCGCGCATCCACACACAGCTGAAGGTGAGGGTTTGGGGCCAGTGGCCGGCGTAGGAGTCACTGAGGGCACCACCTGAGACAGGGCCACAGAACTCCACTCCTGGCTCTGCCACTCACCAGTGGGGGCAGCCAGCTCCTACCCCCTCAACTAGGGGCCCCACAGCTCCACCTCATGATATGAGCTCATCCAGGTGAACAACACGTCTGCTACCTGGTGGGCTTTCTCCAAATGTCATTGGTTACGACTGCCGCTCTCATCATAGACTACGAAACCCACAGGTGCTCAGGCCCCCCTGTGGCTTATGAACCAGCAGCCTCAGCCAGCGCTCTGGGAGCCATTCTTGGAGCGGCCTCATGGCCACCAGGATGCAGTGGAGGAGGAACAGCAGGAAGGAGAGAACAGAGCAGGGTCTCGGTTTGCCCACCAACAAAGTTACACTGTGGTGGGTCAGCTCTCCTCTGCTCTATGTGGATCTTTACCTTCACAATCTCCTGCGCCAAGATCCCGCCAACTACGGCACACACAGGGGCCATCTCGGAGAAGCAGTACCTGAAAGAGAAGGGGAGTGAGAAGGTACCTAGAGGACAGGAGAGGCCCTGAGTGCAAACATCTTCTGCCCCCAGGAGTCACTCCACAGAGTGACATGATGCTGGCATCCAGCTGTGGAAATGAAATCGGATCTAGGGCTGAGAGAGTAGTTGGAAAGAACTTTGAACTCTGGGAAACAGGAATTGTTTCACGATATTTTCTTTTTTGTTTTTCAGTGTAAGGGAAGACTATATCTGTGCTTCCTAAAAATAAGCTCCTCCAAATATCAGATGTTTCAATGGCCTGGTCACATTCTCTCCATTCTCTTCTCACCCAGCCCGGGCGGTGGGCTCTCCATGTTCCTCTCAGACAAATGGCAGGGGGCAGGCCTGTATTGACATGCAAGCAGCCTGGAAAATGGGGGCCTGAAATGAAAGCATGGGGACAGAAAAGGCTTGGTGACCCACATAGAAAGCAGCTCTTCTAGGCCAGACCACAGCCCTTGGAGGGCAAACTTTAGCAGGTCCTGTCACCTGCTGCTCCCCCATCACCTCCGAGTAGACACATTCCTCCACCACTTCCCACCCCTGGCTGCAAAGGTACAAAGCTGGACAGAGCAGCCAGAAGAAAGGCTTTCCCGAGCAGCCTCGCACAGGCTTTCAGAGTGCACTCTGTAGTTACACAGGTACTTACACAGGTATCATTTTACTGATGAATACAGTAAAGCATGCGATGGCCTGAAGTGCTGTTGAGTTGGTTCCTACTTATAGTGATCCTGTATAGGGTTTCTGAGGAATTACTGGTGAGCTTGAACCACTGAACCGCCGACTTTGCAGTTCAGCGCATTAACCCACAGTGCTACAGCAGGACTCCAATTACCACTAATAGCAAGTACTAAAAAAAAGGGGTAGGACTGGACCCTGTGCCAAGATCAGAAAGCTTGCAAGACTTGGAAAACCATAGTAGTCCCGTCAAGTTCCTGCTCTTTTGGGTTTCTTTACTGGAAGGGTGGTCCTTGATTTACAATTCTACTCTGTTGGATACCACTTGATTTTGCTTTATTTAGTTTTCATAATTATTGCCTTTTATTCTCAGTATCTTCATAAATCTGATCTACATTTGTCTTTTTTTTTTTTTTTGTCTACATTTGTCTTTGAGGTTTGGAAAATTATACACAAACTTATAGCTTCAACACTGGCATTTCCTGCTTCTCCAGGAACACCATTACGTAGGCCAAAAAAGAAGATCATAAGCGTGGTCCACTGTAACTTGAAAGCGTGTAAGTTAGGGACTACTTGAAGTATTAAGTCATCATTCTCTCTGTTTCGCAACTTATCGATATTTATGCTGTTCAATACAACAACCACACATTAGCATAGGTGTTCAGATAATACTTTGAGACAAATGCCTAAATCCAGAATTGTTGGGTTTTGATACTAATTGCCAAAAGGTCCTCCAGAAAGGCTGTTTCCATTTCAGTTCCCTCACTCTGACAAGAGCATCGCATCTACTCTGGTTAAACCACAGAGGCAATGTTTCCTCCTGCTGCTTAGAAAAGTCTGCTACAGAACTCTACCAAAGAAACACTAATCACTCAAAATCCTACTGGTCATAAGACTAAATGTGGGATTGTTCCTTTAAATCAAAAACAAAACAAAAACCCCCCACCTCTATTCATACCTACACAATTTAAATATTCTGCTTTTTTTTTCTCTTAAAAGTTTATCACCTCAGCAAAATATTAGCAAAGTGAATAAGGACCATATAAAAAGGATTACCTATCTCTGAGATAATCTTTAAAACTTAAAACCAAAAATGTCCTCTTAAGTCTTGTTAACACCAAACATAGTGTAGTTTAATTAGTAAACAAACATTGTGCTCTTCTAAGATCTAACTATATGGAGTCCTGGTGTGGCGCTGTAGTCTAATGTGCCAGAATGCAAAGTCATTTGAACTGCAAGGTCGGTGGTTCAAGCTCACCAGCTGCTCCTTGGAAACCCTATGCAGGGTAGCTATGGGTCGGAATCGACTCAATGGCACTTAACAACAACAACATATGGAGTCAAGTTGACAACAGCAATTCACAAGATACACAAGAACTTAGGGGGCAGTGAATTTCAGGTAGTGAAAGAGGAGCACCTTGGAAAAGGAGGAGGATGTGAGACCGGCCGCACAACTTGAAGAATGCAAGCGAGGCCAATGAACTGCACATAGATAGACTATTGAGCTGGTGTCTGTTTTGCTGTGTACATCTGAAGGGGGTGTTATATGCTATGACTGAATGGGCTTTATGCCAGGAATACAAGGTGGGTTTAACAAATGAAAATCCCAGGGTTTTAACTTGGTTCTTCCCAGTTCAGTCACGGCTGACAAAGTGAAACAGGAACCAACTCAAATTAGTGTACCAAAAATCTGGACCAAGAAAAATCATGGATTGATGCTCATTAGAAACCTGATATTCCTCTTAGAAAAAAAGGCAGCATGCTTGCTGCATAGCAACCAAATCTCTTGACCAGCAGAGTTGGAAACAGTGCTCCACTCAAAGACAGTGGCCACCAGTGCCCACAGTCCTGGCAATAACCCAATCTCCTGCATCAAGTGCCTGAAAGGATTCACTATATACCTTTTCCAAGTTCCCCATTCCAGGGCTTTGACCTGTAATTTTTCCCATTCTAATAATCACTCCAGTATACCCACATCTTACAAAATCAGATCTATTCTGATTTCACTATGCTGACCATAAGTTTCATGTTTGAACTGGTTCACTATGTCTGAATTGGTTCAAAGCTCTAGAAAGTTCATCAGCCCGGTACCATAAAGGGCAGTAGCTGTATGATCATCTTAAGCAATACAGAAAAGAAAGGAAAAAAAAAAAAACCCAATTAGACAAAATCACACTAACACTCAACAAACTAGGAAGAGAAAGAAATGACCTCCACTTGATTAAGGGCATCTGCAAAAACCTCACTGCTAACATCACACTTGATCGAACCCCAGTAGCAGAGTCTTAATGCTTGGTAGCTAACTGAAAAGTTCGCATTTTGACCCACCAACCACTCTGCAGGAGAAAAATGAGGCAATCTGCTTCTTGCAAACCCAATGGGTTTCTGTCCTAAAGTGTTGCTATGATGCAATGGCAACAGGCTTAGTTTTTTGGTTAACAACATAACGGTGAAAGACCAAATGTTTCCCCTCTAAGATCAGGAACAAGAGCAGATGTCAGCTCTCACCTTTTCTATTCAACACTATATTGGGAGTTTGAGCCAGGGCAATTAAGGCAGGAAAAAGAAAAAAGACATCTCGATTAGCAAGGAAGATGCAATACTATCTCTATTCAAGGATGACATATCTTGTACATAGAAAATAAACCCACAAAAAAACCCTACTAAAATTACTAAATAAATTCAGCAAGGTTATAGGACACAAGATAAATATACAAAGCCTAATTGTGCTTCTACACAGCAATGAACATTGCAAAATGAAATTAAAGCAGAGTATTATTATTCAGAAAAATTTAACAAAAAAGTGAAAGAATTGTACATGGAAACTACGAAACATTGTAGAAAGAAATGAAGAAAAGATCTAAACAAACACACATCCTATGTTCATGGATCAAAAGATTTAATACTAATATGTGAGTACGCCTCAAATTGATCTACGTATTCAATCCAAGTTCCTATCAAAATTGTAGCTGCCTTTTTTGCAGAAATTGACAACTTGATCCTCAAGCTCATATGGGAATGCAAGGGACCCAGAGAGGGAAAAAAACCTTGAAAAGAACAGTAAAGTAAGAGAATTCACACTTCCTGATGTATCCTAACTGACCACAAAGTTACAGCCAGCAAGACGACAGTGTGATAGGAACCTAAGGATAGAATCAAAGGAACACAACTGAGAGTTTAGAAAGAAAACATCAAACCCACTGCCATCAAGGCAAGCCCAACTCACTGTGGAGGGTTTCCAAGGTTGGAAATCTTTCCAAGAGCAGAAAGCCTCATTTTTCTCCAGAGGAGCGGCTGGTGGATTTGAACTGCTGATATTACAGTTAGCAGTCCAGTGTTTGTCTTGCAGCACCCACTACGATCAAATGATTTTCAGTAAGAGAGCCACGGGAAAAGCATCGTCTTTTTAAAAAGTGGTGCTTGGCCAGATGGATTTCCAGAGGCAAATCCTAGCACACAGTGAAACCTGTGAGAGCTGAAATTTGGCAGAACTGTCTTGTTTTTCCAGGTCTTGCAAATTGTCTGTCTTTGCAATCCTACCGCTTTCCTATCACTTGTTTTAGTGGAAAAGATTTGAATTTTCCTTCTCTGACAGGTTCAAGTTTTTACGTTTTACTATATGAAAATGTACTAAAAATGGACCAAAGCCTTAAATGTTATAGATACAACTATACAATTCCTAGACGTATCACTGTAAGTCTTAGTACCCTTGGATTAGGCAATAATTTCTTAGCTATGACATCGAAAGTACGTGTGACAAAAGGAAAAATAGACAAATTGAGCTTTATCGCAATTTTAAAAGTTTATACTTCAAAGATACCATTAAGTAAGTAAAAAGAAGACCCACAGAATGGGAGAAGCATTTACAAATGACATTATTTCATATGTGACTTTCTGGAGTATAGGTCTCTTGGTAGCATTTGACGACTAACTTTGAGACTGGTGTTTTGAGCCCACCCAGCAACACCTCGATGGCTTCTGTAAAGATTAGAGCCAAGGAAACCCTCCAGAGGCTGTCCTACCAGTCTAACAAAGTGGGCTACCATGAACTGGAATTGATTGGACAGAAACAGGTATCCACAATATATAAAGAAATCTTGCAATTAAGGATAGGCAAGGGATCTGAACAGATATTTCTCCAGAGAAGCTATACAGACACAGTTAATAAACACATGAAAAGATGTTCAACACCACTGTTGTTTGTTGTTAGATGTCATTGAATAGGTTCCAATTCATTGTGACTTTATGCACAACAGAACAAAACACTGCCTGCTCCTGTGCCAACTTCACAACTGTTGC